ATTTCGGACGGTTAAAATCCCGAATGATAATTTCCACATCGACGTAGAATAACATGTTCATGGAAACGCTTGCAATCGCAGATCATTTCTCTTGTGTCGTACATGGTAGCAGTTTTCTTAGTCGTGGCTTGCTTTCTCGGCTCTCAGAGACGCTGCTTCACATCAGATTAGACCATTCAAAGAGAGTTTCAACTCTGACCGTTTCTGAATTTCAGATGTCGGGGACTTTATGATTAACAACTTCTGTTGAGGATAGCATATATATTCACTTACTTCACACAAGATCTATCGAGAATCCTCTGCACGGTAACACTGAGCAGTGACTGACTTAGGCGGGCCTTCATCCGAATCACAGATTTAGTCGGATCGTCTCAGGGACTTGTGAAAACTGTAGAATCACTCCATTATTGTTAGATGAATAGACACAAGACCGAACAAATCTGCTTCTGTCTAATATATACCAGACTAACATTTTGTATGGAATAAGCCCATGTCCTATGTGTACTGCTAAGCGTGACATGCGTTCCACTATTCTATCTCGTGTTTATGAACAGCGTTGGTCCATTTCATTGAGCAAGAAACGGATACAGACGTTCCGTTGCAATCAGTGATCCGCAGTAATTATTCCTCTCAAAAGTTATTGATCTGCGGTAATCAAAAATCTACCGCGACCATCCTAACCTTTTTCCCTCTCGAGCATATCACGAGTTACCAGTATGCATAATTTCTCCGGAACGTTTCGTCATCATTCCCAAAATTGTGTTTTCCGTCCAACTCTAACGCACACTCTCTGTTCTGTTGGCATTTGCAGAATTACCCGGACAGTTTGATTTGCAAGGTACGTTCCATATTTTGTTTCATGTGACTGGCTCAATCACCCTCATGTGAATGTGGCTAAAGCAGATCAAAGCCTGACACCGAGCATGATCTGGTTTGTAGATTCATCAGTGGTGATTATGACTTTAGGTGTCCGCTCTCGAGTTCGATATTGCGTAGCATTGCAGTTTTTAGATCGCTGAAAATCAGTCTTTCTGAGCAGGCTCTATGAATTCGATATGAGCATTGGCAATAGTGAGGATCTCATGTCGATGCTAACCAAAATGAGTAGAGACTCTCGTAGTTGAAGCAGCGTCCGCTAAAGTTTGCTCTCGATCAGGAATTTATCTATAACCAATCAAATCAATTGTTGTCATTCAAGTTTTCCGTCCACACATGCCCATTCATTGAGGATAGAGAGGGCATCTGCAAGTTAACAAACTATAACAGTCGAATCATCAGACTTCGGAACCGATTTCTGACTTTCCACATTTTGTGTGTGACAAAAACCACACACAATTTATTACTAATAATACACAACGTGTTCATTCAATAAAAATTAGGTGACACCGTTCTCATTTGATTTTATAAAATGAAGACTAGCAGGCAAACGAGGAATAAGTTTGGGATGAGAAGTGCATCACCATGAAATGAAACCCGCCGATAGAGAACGACTAAACTAGCTCTTTTCCAACGCGTTTCACTTGTCCAATTTGTCCAAATCCCAGAGATGATATTCGAAGGATACTTGTTCGACGAGGGTACGGCCGTTTACACTTGGTGGTCTGACTGGAACAAGGCTTACATGCGTGAACTGAAACAATTTGTGAGTCTTTTGCAACTGTTCTGTACAAATGTGTCATGATCGGTCACTTTTTGGTGCAAGCGAATGCCGCATTACTCAACGGTCAGATTTCAGAAAGACGCATTGGATTCAAACAGAATCATAAAAATCACTCTGATGTAATATTCCTACTGTTCGTTTAGCTTACTCGATGAATCTACACAGCTGGTAATACATATAAGGCAAGTAGGGCTGAAAGTGATGAACAGCTTTTGCGTCATTCTGAAGCTCACTTCACAATGTTCCTCTCTGTTGTTTGTCAACGTAACTACAGTAAAATATAACCTTGCGCAATAATGGAATAACTCCTGGTCATATTAAGACTATCAGTGAGCACAAGACATATGAGCATGTGTTTGAAAACTGTATGAAGATGACTGGATATTTTCACGGTGATTGGATTGTGAAACCTGATAACTTCAGCGGTAATTGTGATGATCTTGCTGGGCCCGGAACAACTGCATGACTACAGTACTGTTATTCACAAATTAAACTTCTGACGTCCTCACGTTGTTGTTCTCATTTAAGGTTCAATATGCTGCGAACTCCGGAATGCACTGGCCTACGTTGCTTAGCATCCGTGTGAATCCAGTTCATGGATTTATCAATTTGTTTGCGCGAATTCACTTGGTATTCGATCCGACACTAGGAGACGATACAAGGGGTATACCGGAACAGGATGCAGTCACAAGACAACTAAATGTTTTTGCCGACACTTATGATAAACCGGTCAAGCTGGCTGATTTTCATGCTTTGAGTGAGTTCAAGCAATTTGATCTCTTTCAACTATTATTCAGTCATGCAGTGCACATTGTGAGGAAGCTTATAAATTTCAAAGTTTAGCGCTATCAGGACAACTACCATGAATCTATGTCGTTAAGTTTTTCCATACAATGAGCTAAAATACAAGTCCTTTAATCTTACCAACCTAGCAATTTATGCCCCTGGGGCCTCAAGGTTACATCAATGATAGGAATAAAATTGTCATTCTGTTGTCTTGCACAAATGTTCTGACAACATCCAGTCAACTGTGTACAAATGAACGTTCGCCTAATGAAACTCTCCAAATAGAACCAATTGCAGTCGTTGTGTCTGTGAATTTGGAATTTAGGAAACCAACTCGTATTTAACTGTTAATTGACCGTCGACGATTCCAGCGTTTGATAACAAAAAATGCCCACACAGAAGTTGCCAGATGTTTGCACTTTAGAAACTCAAAAGACAAGACACATGTTTACTCCATGGAAGCGTACAAAGTAAATCAAATTCAACTCTGAATTTTCTTTCAGAAACCAGACTAAATGGTAAGATAACTTGTGATCAATGTATTTCTGCCTTTTTGTCGGCAGTTTATTGCATTCCGACTTTCATGCATTTCGACCAT